GTGTAATCAAATCATCCTTATTTAAAATTCTCAGTTCTTAACTCGCAAAACAATATTACAATATCAGTACTTTTGCAGAACATTGTGAAGCTCCATTGTATTCTACAGTTTTGAAAAGGTGACATCCACTAGAACTGGGAACCCTTCTTGTGATGCATTACAGTTCAAATTGCTGCCATTTCAACAATAACACTTTTTATCCTTAGGCAAGCAACCCACACATATGTGCCATGTAACTCAAAACAAGGAGAATTTAAATTACATTTTCTTTTTCCTTTTACCCTCCGGTCATAATGCCATGTGGACTTCTTCCTCCCCAGACACTTCGCCCAGCTGCTCGGGATACTTGCAATAGCTCCAAGACAGTCCTTTCTTTAGTGCTGTATTTCTCAAACTGTTGTAGGGGCTGAATCTTTGTTTTATTAGAGACAAAGCTATTTAAGGCGTAGTCCTTCTTTGGGTTATTATTATAGCTTACATCTATCTAGGCCTGATAAAGTCCAGGTTTAGATCTGGTGGTACTCGGAAGGTCAAAAATGATCTTAGATGGTTTGTTAGTTTTAGAATCACAGCTTTAGAGAATACCTTCCCAATTATAATTTCTAACACATATGAAACATCTTTACTTGACTGATTAAAGGTCCTATATTACACAACATGGATTCTTATGAGCCATGTTATAATGCTTTAACCTTATCAAAAACATACCTGGAGTTGTGCTTTATTTCACACGTTTGAGTAACTCTTTATTATTAGTTGTCTACATTTCCAAAGATTAAAATGCTCTGTTCAACCTTGTGATGTCATGAAGCGGTGGTTTTCAAGTTGCTGTCTTTTACCTTTTGATCAGTAGAGATTAGTTGAAATCATCCAAATGATTCCAGTGATAGTGAAAGGAGTTTAAAGTGCAGGGTTTGTGTGTAAAACGTGTGTGAATGAAACAAAACACAACTCCAAGTAGTCTATGCTTGTGATGAGGAAATAACATTATAACAGAAAACCAGAAAACAGAGTAATATAGGCGTTTTAAGAAACATGTAGTGTGTAATGTAAAGTGCATGCTCTGAGCTTCTGTGTCTATAGTGTGAGCTGCCGTTGGGACGTCCCAGGGGAGGAGGACATCTGCTGCTCTGAGCTCCTGTCTGACAGAATTACAGACTTAATCAAGTCCTCTCCATCTCCTTCACCCTTCTCCACCTCCATCTGGATCAGACTGTCTGCCTGTGTCACGCCTCTGTCACTGCCACCGCTCTAGACACAACACAACACAGGCACTGGAGAGAGGAACAAGACAGTCTAAGTGCTGTGATTTTCAATATAATTATCTTAAGCCTGATGGCACAGATGTATAACCTTGTTTATATTTTATATAGAGAGAAATACATGTGCATATACATGTAATAACCACTGAGGACCCTTTTTGCATAAAGGTGAAGGCTGCACCTGTCCCCTGCAGTTCAAACCAACCACCCCATGACACTGAATCATTTAAATTATATTGTATTAAAGGGCCTATATTATGCTTTTATGCTTATTTTCTGATCTACAGTATATTGTATCCTCAGCAAAAACATACCTGGAGTTGTGTTTTGCTTCATACACCCCTGTTTAACACAGAAACTGGAATAGACTCTGTTTGTTTTTTTCTCTCATTTAGTTCTTCTCTCAAATAGAAACCAGCTTGTCATATCAGACACTGATACAGGAAGTGCTCCACTGCATTTTAAAATTCCATACACCTTCACAAGACTCATCTAGATCATTTTCGCCCAGGAACTGTCAATCTCTACTGAATAAAATTACATTACAATGTGGAACAGGGCATTTTAAGATTTTGAGATGTAGACACATGTAGGATTACAAATACAAATGAAACCAAACACAACTCCAGGTATGTTTTTGAAGAGGTAACAGCATTATAACATAGCTTAAAGCTCACAAGAATCTATTTTGTGTAATATAAGACGTTTAAGTTGGGTATATTTACGCATTAATAAATGGATAAAAAATATTATATTGGCATCTGACTCTACCCCCATCTAAGACGTGTCATGGCTGTTTTATCAACTCAGTTCCTGGAGTAGCTTTGTAAAAGTAGTTCTCTGGGGAAAAGAGGTTGGAGACCCCTGCACTCACAGATTGTGAAAAAAAAACCAACTCTGGACTCATTGTCTCTAAAGGCACTAATCACTGAATTACTGAGAGCTTTGAAGCAGGGATGGTTTGCCAAGTGACTAATAAGATTGGACTAAACTTACATTTCATAAATCCTTGGATTGGAGGACTACTCTGAGAAGGATTGAGATCTATAGCTACTACCAAGTAGGAGAACCCTGCCTTATAGTGATAATGTAATATTATGCAACAAGATTTATGCAAATGCAGTGAATACAAGCTGACCTACAGATGCTCACATGGAACATACACCCCATTACTCCGCCCTCCTTCTGTCTGCTCTATTCTCGCTGTGAGTCTTGTTTAAACCTGTGTGATGTGAGCTGGACTGGAGCAGGAGGAGTTGAGCCCTGGGGAACACTGACCTGACAGTATTCATAGAAACACACACACACACCTACACACACACACACACACACACACACACACACACACACACACACACACACACACACACACACACACACACACACACACACACACACACACACACACACACACACACACATGCTACTGTAGGCTACAAGAACTAAGGCTTTGAAATACACGCCAAGAATCATGCCATGCCTGTACTGTAAAAGAACATAGTTGAAAGCCAGTACTTTCAGGTTTGAATTCCTCAATAAGACAACCCATGATTTAATTTCTATGAAATATTTTTCTCCTTGACTAAAGAGGGGGTATTTTACTTGTATGGGGTATTAACTGCAAACACATAACATGTTTACATGTTACCTTTTATTGTTTTGAAAATGCTATGTTACAGTGTATTGACATGTTTTATAAGTGTCACTTTGGTTTTGGTGCACTGAGTCTCCCCTCCTTTGACTCCCCGTGTTAAGTCACTCCCCCTTCAGAGTGCTATCGCAACACAATGTGCACAACCTAGCATCCAGCTAATGAAACTACACTTTTATATATCTATGGACAGTTGGGAGCATGGATGATGTTGGCTTATGGGCTAAACACTGAATCTGTAAAGCAGGTTGAATTACGGAGCCAGGCTGGTGCCACCTAGTCCACTCGAGTAACTAGGTCAGGAATTGGAATACACTAAACGGTTTGCAAGAACCCCGGAAGTCAAGTTTGGGCACCAGCCAATCAGCGAAGCCATACATTCTGTGTTGGCAACAATTTCTGAGATTGAGAATTTAAAGCCGGAACAAAGAGAATGTTTGGTGAAGTTATCAAGGGGAAAGCCATTATTGCCCTTCTTCCTACATGATTTGGGAAAAGCTTAATGTACCAGTTAGCCCCATTAGTAGCGCATTATATATGTCATGACCAAACAGCAGCGATTGGTTACATTAAAAAAGTATCCGCCTACCATCTAGCGAACAAATTCTAATGCTGAAAGGTCAGACGGTATCTACAAAGTGAAACCGGCTGATAAATCAGGCTATGAATTAGGGCCCAGGAGAGACTAAAATACTCAGACATTCATGAATGACATCTAAGACAAAAACAAAAAAATCTCCTCCTCATTAATCTTACTGCTGTAAGTCTGGTGTATCGCCTGTAAAATGTCTAAAGTGTCTCTAATATTAATTTGGTCACATTCACGATAACATCAGTAAAAGATTAGAGAAATGAAACACCCAAACATCAGATATGAGTGTAAACAAACCACACTGACAGCTGAGGAAAAATGTTGTTGTTGCATGATCCAAGTGTAATTAATTTTGATTAAAAACATCACACTTCACATGCCCCAAGAGCTTTTGTCATTTATCTAAAATGTGTGTGTTTGACATTTCTCTAAAATTGACACTACAAAAATAACAACACATATCTACCTCATCAACTCATTAAAGGGCCCATATCACACTATTTTCTGATCTTTGTTAACATGCTTGCAGTTGTGTTTTATTTGATTCATATTTAGGCTGAGCTCTTCTATCAAACTGAAAACAGCTTGTTCCACCTTGTGATGTCATGTGGTAATACAGGAAGTGCACCACTATGTTTCTAAACTCCATACAGCTTCACTAGAATAATTTTAATGATTTCTCTGGAATTTGCAATCTCTACTGAATAAAAGACAAAAGGTAAAAAGTAAGTCGTTAACCTGAAGACTACCACTTTTTGACATCACGAGGTGGAATAGAGCATTTTGAGCTTTGGGGAGGTAGACAGACTAATAATAAAGGATTACTCAAACATGTGAATGAAAGAAAATACAACTCCAGGTGTATTTTTGAGACGATAACAACATTATAACATTATGAAGAGTAAGAGTAAATTTTGTGCAATACAGGACCTTTAAGAGGTATACTTATACATACATTATATTAATTAGCCAATCGTCGACTTGTATGTAGATTTGTTTAGGGTAGAAATGAAGATGGCTACCTCAAATATTTAAAGTGGGTCATTGTGGGACAAGGTGGAACTTAACTGAGATTAAAATGCTTTTACAGTGCATTGCCAGTAAAACATTTCATTTGTTTTCATAAAATGTCTCATTGAGTCTGCATAAGCAACAGATACCAGTAAAATATATCACAGAGGGAAATTATTCGGTCTCAACCTAACCTAGAAAAACTGTAATAGGTGGACCTCAGGGGACTATAAATGTCTAAATAGCTGTGCAGACAACCAAAACTGGGACAGGTGTAACCACGATCCAGACTGAATTTTACACATTCAAAAGCTCAATTAATAACAATTTTAAAGACCTCATATCACCAAGTGAACAATTCCGCCTAATTTGGTGCCCTTATCAGACCATCTCTAAGGATTCAAAATAGGACTAGAGAAAAGTGACACTATCTCTGTGGTGTTGTAACTGTAAACTGGCACCTCACAGTCACACATAAACTCACCCATTGCAAAGAAAGGGATCCCGAGCAGAGTGGAGTTGAACTTTCCGTCAGATATGAAGAAGATCCCTGCGGCCGTGACGTTGGCGATGCAGATGGTGAGGACTCCCAGCAGCCCCAAAAAGGGTTTCCCCCTCAGACAGTCCCTCATGGAGCTGGAGATAGTAGCGGCCAGCAGGACCAGCACCAGGCTCACTAACACCTCTCCTTTGGCCAGCACCCCGGTCTGGTGGAAGTCCCTCCACAGGCTGAAGGAGGTGAGCGACTGCAGGTGCAGCTGGTCTGTGCTGTGAGGGGGAGGGCTGGAGGACAGCCGCTGGACCAGGGCACAGAACTCATTCTCCCAGCGCTCGGCGATGATGTCCTGCACCACAGGCCCATTGTTACGCAGGTAGTATGTGATCTGTACAGCCCGCGCAGACTTCACCGTCTGGTCACGACTGTTAGGGGAGAAGGTGACCCCTCCCAACTGGTGTCCGATAAATGACACACGCCCATCCTGCAGAACAAATCAAAACAGTATTAGAATGTGCATTCATTCTTAGGATGATTTGTCTCTCTCTGTCTCTCTCTCTCTCCTAAACCATGTGTGATAACTATTAATGTAATTGTGGATTATGTTTCATACTTAAAGGCTGGGCTCACATACATTGCACAGAATTTCACAAACTTACTAGAGTCTGTCTGCCTTTGGGCTCGAGCCACTGGATGACCAGTCCAATCAGAGGGCAGGGCAGTGTTTTGGTTTGGGCAGAAGCCAAAGACAAAGTGCCCACACGAAGCAAAACAAACATGGCACTGCTATTTTAGCAGAAAAACAGACAATTTTGTTTTTTGAAAAATGTGGGGAAGCACTAACAGGGACATGGAGGTGTCTGGGCTTTTCTCTCGACTGGACATAACAAAAGGAACAGTTCATTGTCTCTGTTGTGACACTTCGCACAATCAGCATAATGTATTGGGAATCTGATTCAAGAGTGACACCCACCAATCTTTAGGGATCACCCACTACACCTGGAACTAAACCTGGACAAGACCATGACTAAACAGAACAGGGTCAAAGCAAGTCTACTGTATATCAGGACTAAACAGTAGACCTGTCACCATAAATACTATATACTGAAAGCTGGTACAATACGTTTTTGGGTTCAAATTTACTTGTACTTGTGGGGAGATTTGGAATATTTTTGTTGTAACACATTTAAGGTGTAAAAGGTTGAATGCATGATTTCTCTGGCCAGTTATTGACCAAATTATATTAAATTATATGTTGCAGCTCAGGCCTTTTAATAATACCATCTATTAAAGATGGCTCATTGGGATTATTCTTATTGTGTCAGTGGCATTAGGTAGTTTCAGTATTTCAGTATTTATTTGACTATGTCTCTGTGCCAATCATGATTAAAAATTCGTTATAGACCAAACCAGAAGTGTGAAACATATACTTTGAAAAACAGAGACATAGTTGAGTGTCAGTATTCTGCATTATCTCAGGGCAAAAGCAGGGGAAACGTGTTTCAAATCACAAACCTGCACTAAATGATTCAACAATATAGTTTTAGAATATAGATTTCTGGAAATAGCCATATGTGGACATTAACAGTTTAATATTTCAGACGTAACAATGTGTCCATTGACAAAATACATGGTGTAACTAACACATACCCTAACCTTTGACCCTTTAGCTAGAGGTAATATACTGTACAGCTACTTAAATCTGAACTAAAATAGCATTCCAATCAATATCCAATATAGAAGCTGCTCCTCCTCAGCTCCCCACCTGACAAATGGGCTGTGCCTTTAGCTAATACAATACCAGTAGACCAGTCCACATGTAATCACATACCCACTGTACACCACATTATTCTTTGTTCTACACATAGACTGTATATATAAATGGACATATCTAACCCACTAGCCGCCACGTTCCCAATAGGAAATGAACATTGGGACACTTTCTAGAATGATTCAACAGCCGGTTTCACCATCTGACCGTCTGGAAACCGTCTGACCTCACAGCATTAGGATTCTTTTGTTTGACAGTAGGCAGGTACTTTTTTTTTTTTAACCTATTGCTGCTATTTGGTCATGCCGTATGAAACGCACCAAATCCCGTAGGAAGAAGGGCAATAACATCTTTCCCCTTGATAAAATTCACCAAACTTTCTCTTTGTTCCAGCTTTAAATCCTCGATCTCAGGAATTGTTGCCAATACAGAATGGATGGCTTCGTCTACATCCATCTCGACCGCTTTGTTTACTGTTGTGCTGTACCACAAAAGGGACCCAGACAGGCGCTTGAATTTGGCTTCACAGCTCTTCGCTGATTAACCCACTCTGCATGTTCTCGATGTGTTTATTTTGCTATTTTGTCCATAAATAAATTCCTGTTTTTAACATGGAACTTGGCTCCAAATTTTCTCCTATAACTGCTAGCCTTGTGAGCTTCATTTGACTAGAGCGGTGCCGAACGCTATGGGAGATGTCACACTCACTTAGGACACGTTTATATGATGACGGTCTGAACAGAAGACGCAAAAGTGCCATCGGGTTTTCACTTTTTATTCCGCGTTTAGACGATCGTTTTTGGGAGGAAATCTGAGTGCATACGGTGATGCAAAAGCGTGGGGAATTTGATTGTGTATGCATGCTAGACGATGCCATGTGATGTCTGTGACGTAAATGCGTACGTGACTTGGGCAGTGTAGATGGAATCGCTACGGTGGAGAGTATTCAACTTTTCCACTCTGGAGGGTGGTTTCAGATTTTGCCGTTTTTAAGTCCCAAAAACGCTGTCACCATGTAAACGAAAGGCACTTTGGCAAAGATAATACTTTGATGTTTTTACCCGCAAGCGTTCTCATGTAAACAGGCCCTTAGTCCACTTCTTTATACAGTTTATAGATGCAAAGATTAGTTGAAATACTGTAGTTTAATAATTGAGCATTAGCTAATCATTTTCCATCAATCTAAAGATAAATAAATGAACTAAAGTGTTGAGAGTATACTGTCTTAACTTGGAGGAAGATGTTTTGAAGACAAATTGTGTTTACAATATTTTAATTAAAAGCCAAAAGTGTCTTCACATTTGAGACATGGTCCCTTTATTACTGTATGCAAGATTCAGTCTGATTTACTTGTTGGTGAAAAAGACACTCAGAAATCTCTAGTGCTTGAGTAGAATATTTCACAACACATATCAACACATATCCCAAAACTAAACCAGCACCTCCTACACTCGCGGCGCTCTGCTAACACTTCCTCATTTTGCCGGTCTGTGATTGGACGCCCACTGCAGAGGAAACAGTGAGAGGAAGAGGATGGATGGAGATAAGCTCAGTGTACAACATTTATATTGTGAATAGACACCTTTGTAAAGTCTTGGGTTAGCACGACTGGAAGACAGAAGCAATCACTGGGTAAAATAAATTAAAAATACTTGACATTTTTGCTATTTCTTTAGTTAACCAGTAACAATGAATTTGTCTTATACACCAATTTCCCAATGGCTAAAAGTCATTTGTATACCAGGATTAATGAAACAAGTGTGCAAAATACAACTCCAGATATGTTTTGAACAACATTAGAACATTAAAAGCTAAATAAATAAATAAATAGCACAATATATACAATATACAATAATATCCTTTCAAACATATTTTTTTGCCTAGCACTGTAGGTGGCAAAGAGACTGAAGTGTCTTGATCAACAATATGTACTTTTTAGAGCGTGGATCTACCATCTTTTGAGGTTTGTACTGTCTATCCGACCATTTCCACACTGAACAGGCTTTTACAAACTCCCCTTTCTACCTCCTCTTGTCCCCATTGTGTTAGTAAAGCAGACACATATTTGTTCTAGCTAGCCTCTTTGTCTTCTCAGCGGAGTCTCCTGAGCTTCACGATGAAAACAACACTATTGTTCTCTTAATGATTCTGATGAAGAAAATCAACACTAGTTAATATGAGTCATCTGAGAACACACAGCCTTGGTTAGTGCCAGGATACACGTGCTTGCATCCCCGCAGAGCTGGTCCGGCTACACTCCGGCTCTGCTCTGATGCTTGGTCTCTCAGTCCCTCTGCCAGCAGTTCTTGTCCCCACATTAAAAGGCGACCAGAATGAAGTGTACCAAACTAATGATTCTTAGATGTATTTATAAGGCATCTTAATTTTAAAAAAGTGGATAAGAAAGTGGACACTGATGAAAATACAACTCTAAATGGCATTATTTCATTATGCTATCATTAATAGGGTTGTTACAACAAACAAATCATGTGGTTTACAATGTTCCTTTCTGTAAATTGTTCTAAAGTTCTAAATTTTGAAAATATATATTTGACGTTGAAGGTGCATTGGTTAACTTTTCTAGCTTTTCTTTAACTTTCCTGTGCCTGCTTGTCTCCTTGAAGATGCTACGGACTATGGATAGTTACCTTTTCTGTACATGCCCTGGCCAAGACTGACTGAGGGAAGGACCCAGTGTTCGATCATCCTTCTGAATCGGTTTTCCGAGGAAGCTGCCTAATTACACATATGACACCCCCCTTTTCCTGGGCCAGCACGACTCGGACCTCGGTGGCGGAAAAGTAGACTGAGCAAGGATTTCGAATCAAAAGTCAAGATGGCTACGCCCACTGTGATGTGTAAATATGAACTGTTTTCATTGTGTTTGGACACTTTGGTGGTTTAAATGACAATTTCAGTCACTCGTATCAATGCAATACCTTACACGTCACTGCCTATGGGTATGGTAGTCAGTGTTGTTGTGAGGCCAATATTGAACAAATACCTGATTAACAGACGTTAACGTCCCTAAGGTTGTAACGGAAAATAAAAATCATAACATAAAATGAAGTTCAAATTTCCAAAATTAAATGAATTAAAGTGTCAGCATTTTCGTAAGATGAGGGAATAGTCATAATCATAATCCATGTAGTCTGACACATGAAACATAATAATGCGCTTCAAGCTCGGACATGACATTAAATCCGAGGTCCAAGTGGGAAGTCGGAAGATAATTGACCGCAGGGGGAGAGTGGTCCTCTTTTATCCACCAAGCTCCTCTCCCAAGCAATTAATGCAAAAAAATATAAAATATATAATAAATAAATAAATAAATAAATAAATAAATAAATGTAAGTATATGCAGCATATGTGGGAAAAAAAATCACTTTGCTAATGAAACGCCGATACTACTGAACATTTTAAGTTTATAAAGCTGTAGTGTATTATTTTCTATGTATATGCTTTTGTAAATTAATGAAGAATTGTTGTATGTGAGCATGGGTGATGCACACTTGTGTGCAGAGCATTGGACAAATCGAAATGTAGTGTAAGGAGCGTTCCAATAGGGCCTGGGAGAGATTGCTTAATTACCCAAACCTACATTACTCAACCATGACATTTAAAACCACTTCAAGCATGTTTTTGACGAGGAAGCAACACTTATAACAAGGTAGAAAGCCCCAAAAAGTTGATTTTGCATAATACCTCTTCTT